TAATATTCAATGCAGAGACGAATGGTAGACTTATAAATGTGTAAAATAGATTCTGGCGAGAAAAATTGTCTAGTGGTCCAACTTTCTTAGCAGCACACATAGTAATCGGTTCAATATAATCTTCCTACTCCATGTTAGTCCAAGAAGGCGCAAGGAGTCACTCTCCTGGAGATAAAAGGCAAAAAGGTTCTCTCGAGCGACTAAAACAGAGCAGTTTCATTTTGGGGGCGTTAAAATTAACAAGCAAATAGACTATAGATCATTTATTAGATCAGCTGCCAATTTGACTATATCGAACCGATCTGACTTACTATTAAAACAGATGTAAATAATTGTTTCATTAGCATAGATACCAAGTTGAGAACTGATGACATAAGCAAGGTCGTGGATGAAAATTCTTCGGACTCGCAGTTCTTTTGTTTGGATTTTCACTTTTTGGATGACATGTTTTTGTTTGTAGCGACTATTCGCAACAAACAGAAGAAGGTTTGAGAATACCATGGACGGAATATGTGAGTAATGAGGAAGTTCGAAGAAAAATGGAAAAAAAGACACTTGCACTTGTACTTAAAATCAGCCAAAGGCAGTTGAAATTACTGAGACACATAGTGAGGAAAGAAGGTTTGTAGAATATGATACTCACATGATATATTGAAGGTAAGAAGGGTATAGGGAAACATTGTATAACCTACCCAATAAGAATGTGTAAATAAATGGCAGAGCAGAGACAGGGTGGGGTAGTAATGAAACAAATATTACTTAGAACTTCAAAGTATAGGAAGTTGTTGAGAGTCATGATCACTTATGTTCTGAAGGGACATCTTTTATGTGTTGTGTCCCTTCAGGGCGTGGAAGTTTATGGGTCTCCACAATTTCCTGGCATTTGTAGCCTTTAGTAAATTTTGTCTTTTTGCTATCTCTCCTAAACTCTGTTCTGCCAACCATTTACTCAAGCTGGTTAGGGTGGTTATTTGCTGTTTTCCTTTGTCCTCTTGCATTCAATATATTCTGTCAGTGTCAAATTTTCTAAGCCCTCTTTCCTCATTATGCACCAAAGAAATTTCATCTGTCTTTTGCTGATGTCAGGTATAAGAGTCCTTTTTTCGTATTTTCTTTAAGACTTTGCCATTGCTTACATGTTCAGTCCCTGGTATTCTCAGCACCCTTCTGTAGAACCACATTTCTGTTACCTCAAGTCTCTTCTTCATCTGTGAGGGGATTATCTCACATTCGCTGCCATATAGGACATATATTACATAACAGTTAAGTACTATTTTCTTTGTTTCGAGAATTCCCTGTTTTTTAAAACTTTGCTTAGCTTTTGGAAAACTTCTTACCACTATACCAATACGCCTTCGTTTTGCGGTGTCGTACTTCCCGTCCTCTGTTGTACTTTGCTTGATTTTAACATCTCCAATTTGCAATTCTCAACCAGAGATCTTCTTTCTGTTGACAACAATACATTGTCTTCTTACAACTGATGCTTAGTCCTTTCTTCTCGCTTTTCTTTACTACCTTATGTGGGAGGTCCTGTGGTTTCTTTTCTATGTCTGCTATCAACACTGTATCATTTGCATATCTAATGCTAAAATTGTCGCCGTCAATAATGAATCCTGGTAGGACTTCTAATACTTTCAGAATCACTTCATTGTAAAAGCTGAATAAGTTTAACGAGAAAATACATCTTTGTCTTACACCCCTTTCTATTTCTTTATATTAACTTAAGGGACACGCAGAGCCGGTGCAAGGGTATCATATCCCCCCCCACCTTCACTACATCATAATTTTCATATGGTTGTAGTCATATAAAATACAAATTTTATTGCAATCTAATAATGGATCATATGCAATAAAGGTGAACAATTCAACTCGAAAAATTGAAAATAAATGCAATGTATCTAAATACAAATTAGAGACATATAATAGATCACTTCATCTTAAATAAATCAACAATGTTGTGTGGTAAATTTTAACATCAACTTTTTTTTTAAGTTGAATTATTTATAACATTTAACATTATGGATAAAAAAAAATAGTGAATTTTATATAGTGAATTCTCGAGATTTCACGAGATCAAAACAAATTCACGGATTTGAAGAAACAAAAAAGAAAAGATCCCAGAATGACGTTAAAACCCGCAAAATGTTTTCCTCCTTTAATAATAGTCAGTTGTACTTCGGTTAGTTTGTAATGTATATAAATGTAAATAGATAAACAAAAAATTCTGTTAAGGCAGCGAGGGTCACAAAGCAGTCGGAATCCCCAATTAGACTCCATATCTCCTGGTCGGGGAGTTCGAGGGTAGTACGCATCGGCCCTGGAGACACGTTACATAAAAGAATATCTTTCCTTCATTCTCTAAAATAAAACACTTTATGTTATTCGACAATAGATAGAATATATGGATATCTACATTTTTTAATCCCGTAAACGAAGTCATGGAGAACGATGATCGCTTACATTCTGAAAAGACACAATACAAAAAAAAGATCCTGCCTAAAATAAAACACCTTATACTATATATCTACGTTTTTTTAATCCCTTAAACGAAGAATTGCCAATTATTATCAATTTTTCACTAGCCTTTCTTTTATCTTAATTTTACTTGGTTTTTATCGAAACTTTCAGAATGTCGTTCTACGGCCAATATTAAGCACCATGGATCGTAAAGAAAGAATAATTCATAATGTTCCAAAATATCTCGTAAAATCGAGACTTTGCTATGGGTGTCATGCATGGCGCCAAACCCATTCAGAATTATCTAAACTGTCAGATGTATACGAACACTTTCTAAGATCAGTGGTTAAAAAAAAACCCACAGGCTTCACTCGCTCAACGCTACTGCTTGGCAAAACACTAGCGTAGCTAGAGGTAGGCGGTTTGCCCCAGTTGACATTTTATCGGCGCAGCACAGCACTTTTGGGTCTGTTGTATAGGCTATATTAAAATAAAAGTGGTTTTAATGTCGGGACACTACTCACAGTTTAAGGAACTTTTCGGTCTTAAACTATGGCATATGTATTTAAGCGATTATTACCTTGACTGAACAATAAACATTATCCATTGATGTATTCAGGGTTGTTTTATCAATGTTGATAATGTGAAATCTGTCAACGAAATCAGGGTGAGTTCTTTTAATGTCGTAATGCCACTGTGTATGGGAGACAAACCTGAGCTGTTATTATATAATTTTTAATTATTTTCCTTGAGCGTATGTGTTGCTCTATTATTCGTCTTTTGGGCCTGTTATTAGTTTATATCATTTCACCTCAAACCAACAGAGTAACTAACACGCAGGAGGGTTACTAAATGATGTGAATGAATATAAGAAAAAACATTATTAAACAGTGCGAACAATAAAGGGAGAGACTTTAAGAGGACAAAAGATAACGATTGACATTACATCTGAATTTTTGAAAATTGAAAGGAAGGAAAGCGAGAAGCTGGAAGACAGTCCCACAAGCAAAAAGTGAAAGAATATATATATATATATATATATATATATATATATATATTTCAATTAAAAGGTGCAATTTTATAATTATAAATTTGAATTTCGCAAACAATATAATAAATATACAGGTTATGAATTATTTATATGTTTGCAAAGAATATTATATTCATTTAAATCATTAACCTCTATATTTATTTTTTTGTATGAATGATTCATGAATATATATATATATATATATATATATATATATATATATATATAAATGAAAAATGACAATAGGTCAGCAATTACCACTTTTCCTATTGTCATTTTTATTCATAAATATTGTCTTCTCTACTGGTTAAATCAGATAAATTTTCATATATATATATATATATATATATATATGAGGGATGTATTGTGCAATATATTGTAGTTTTTATTTGGGGACCGGGGGAAGGTGGAGTGTCGGTAAATTCAAGGGCTGCTTCGGGTGGCTTAAACTCTGCGCCGGTCGGCACACTCTTTTTAACTATACCAGGCAGAGACCGTACTTCTTTGAACATTGCAAACTGGAGCTACATAATCACGAAGAACTGTACCAAATAACATAAATCACATCACTTGAGGACTACCACCAGCAGCAACAACTAAAATGGATAGCACATGTAACTCGAAAATAATGACATAATAAAAATGTTGACGTTCCACATTATTTCAAATAAAAGGTTAGGATGAAAACCCCATCAATATTGGTAATAGCGATAACAGCTACAGAAGAAAACCTTTTCATGAAAAAATGTTTTAAGAGAAAGATTTTATAAAATTTCAACCCACAGCTGTACTAGTAGCTCGATCAATGAATACCAAATGTTTTTTTGTAGGGAAACGGCTACCATTACCATTTTAGCGAGACTCGAACACACAAATCTTTTCCTTGGAGACCTATTTTAACGCAGCTGCTGCCTTTCCTATTTATTAACAATCGTAGAATAAAAGTCTAAGAGATTGTGACAAAAAACAACTGAAATTATGATAAAATAAAATAAATCATAGTTGAATGAAACAGATACTTTATTCATGGAATAAGAAGATTATTTTAGAAATTCAGACAATATTATGAAAACCGGAGAAAGTACCGGGCGAGATTTACGGAATAAAGACGAATATAAATCCGAATAATTCGTTGAATAAATGCTGTTGACTTACAAATATCTCCTGAATTCTCTCTTTTAGCAATAGACACACATAAACACCAAATAGCAATCTTATTTACTTTTCTTTTATTGCTGACGATTCTTTCGCGGATCTTTCAGGAAATAACTTTGAAGTTTATACACAACAAATTTAACAAAAGAAAAAAATAAAACAAATACCGCCCCGCCCCCACCCCCCTCAAAAAGTAAAAAGAAAAAAAAATTCTAACAATATCAAATCAAATAGTGCCTGTGCATTAAGCATTGTATTTATGAGCACGTTTTACCGACAGGGAACACTTTTTTTTTATTTGTTAAAAAAAAGTCTGCACGCTTACCACTTTCGTTTTATCTTTGTTTCTCTATTTCAGTCTTAATTTCACTTCTCAATCTTTTCCTCTTCCTATCTATCTATCTATCTAGCTACCTAATAACTATCTATCTATCTAATCATCTCAGTTTGTTTTAGTTTATCTCATTCTCTTCTTTCTTATCTATCTATGTATTCCTATTAATCTCACTTTGTTTATATATACATACATATATCATTCTGCTTTTTCCATATCATCAGTCTGTTTATTTTATTCGGTTCTTTCTATCTATCTATCTATCTATCTATCGATCGATCGATCGATCGATCTCTATGTGAATGTGATTCTGTTCTTTCCTATCTAATCTCAGTCCGTTTAATAATAATAATGATAATAATAATAATAATAATAATAATAATAATAATATATATATATATATATATATATGTATCATTCTGTTCTTTTCTATCTATCTATCTATCTATCTATCTATCTATCTATCTATCTATCTATCTAATCTCAGTTTGTTTATCTCATTCTGTTCTCTTCTATCTCTCTCTCTATATGTCATTCTGTTCTTCACTCTGTTTAATTCTGTTCTTTTCCATCTCTCTCTCTCTCTCTCTCTCTCTCTCTCTCTCTCTCTCTCTATACATACATACATACACACAATCAGTCTGTTCATATTCATATTCATATCACACTTATTTTTTAGCTTATCTAAACAACCGGTTCTATTCCACTTGGTTTGTGCGCGTGTATGTGTGTACACAGTGATAATAATAAACACCTCAATATTTGAAACAATATACTATCTGGTACAATAAAGTCTGTATTTATTTATGGGTGACTGGTCGGATTTCACAGATTTCTCTTTTTTTCTCTAAGTGTACGAGCGGCTTTGTCAAGTTTGGTACACAAGAAAACTTAAACATCGACAAACAACGTTAAGATAAGAAATATACGTACTACAGTACACATACTTATACATGTTACACACATATAAACATTTACTTTTGTTTTTATCCAACGACACATTTGTTTTCGTACATGTTCATTTTAAAAATTTTATCCATTCAGTCTTTAGTCTTTACCTTAAAGAGCCTACAACTCTCTACAATGCATCATAAAACTTTTAATGCCGAATGTCCGTTCTTTATCTATCAGTTTATCTCATTTTTAGGAACATTTGTTTGTAGTGATATATAAACTCAGGGCTACAATTAGCAAACTGTACTATATTTGAAAAACCTATGCTAAATTTGAAATTGACTTTCTTCTCATTAAGCCAAGTTAGTTTGGTTTATTTTAAAAAGTAGCACTCTAAAAGTGGCGAAATTCAAAATTTATTAACGATGACTTTCAAAAATAGCTCGATTATGACAACACAAGCCATATCTAAAAAAAATTGTTTATGGTTTGTAACAGAAAGAATGAAACTTACATAGAAACAAAGATAGAAAGAAAGAAACATACATAGACAGAAGGAAAAAGAGAGAGGGGGGAAAGAGGTGTGTGTATGTATGTGCGTATACATGTGTGCGTGCGTTTTGCGTGAAAAAAGGTTACATGTTTTTCCTTAAAGGCTTAAGTTCTTCATTATTCTCCTCAATCTCTAACTCCATACAGAGAGGAACGCTTATACCTTCCCCCTCCTCCCCCTCTTCACACGCACACACACACACACACACACACACACACACACACATGTTTATGAGTCTTTAGCTCTAATTTAACATAGACATGCATGCGGTAATGCACGTAAACTCACACACACACACCCATCAAAAAAAAAAAATATCCACGTACCACTTTTTCCAACACCTTCGGCCCCGACTACGGCTACTTTGGTCTCTCCAAGAGACGACTTCTTCCTCTTGAGATAGGGTCTAAGTGTGGCACCTGGTACGGTTACACCAGGTTCTTGTATGGTAGTCGCAGAATTGTTCATGTTGGTCTGGCGTTAAGAAGCCACACTAGCTTCTCTTTTTCTTTCCAAGACTCTGATCATAGAACTTGGAGAGATTTTAAAAGAAAACTATATTCTTTTGTTTTGGCGTCTTCTTCGCAACTTCTTTGGCGAGAAGAAAAAACTGAAAAAGAAAAGCGACGACCAGCCAGCAAAAAAACCCTGTGCGCAGGTCTGAGACGACGCTCTTTTCTTGCTTTCTTTCCTTTAGAAAAGAAGCAAAAATTGGTACCGCTATACTCAGTGTGGAACTGTAGTGTAAAGTAACCAAGTATACTCGAAGACTGTCGAATTTTTTTTTATTTTTTTATTTTTTACTTACTAGATCCTTCTGCTCAGCGCATTCTCTGGCTTTGCACAGGGATCATAGCGAGCTAGTTTGAGAAGAGAAGCGTAGCCTTTTTTTTTTCTTCTTTTTTTACCTGTTCTGTTCTCATACAACAAAAACCAAAAGAAAAAAGAAAAGAAAATACTTATATGTGCGTTACGTTTTTATCGGACGGTCGAACGGACGGACGTACAGACAGACAAACAGTCTCAGATAGATAGATAGATAGATAGATAGATAGATAGATTGATAGATAGATAGATAGATAGATAGATAGATAGATAGATAGATAGATAGATAGTATAGTATAGTTGGTAAGAGAGAGGTTTGGGGGTGATAGATAGAGAGAGATGAGTGACTGACAGACAAGCTGACTTGTGTGTATGTAAGATATCTGACGTGGGGTGGGAGGGCAATGAAAACGAAGAAAAAGAAAAGGAGAAAGATTTACGAACACGTGCACTAACATCTGTGCGTGTGTGCTTGTGTACATTCAAGTCAAACGTTTTGTTGTGTCTCTAGGTGCGTATTCGTGCGTGTATGTGTGTCCGCACTGTTACAGTTAGCCTTGATTGAAAACTTTTCTTACGTGTGTACACGTCTATTCACAATTCCCTACATCAGTGTAGGTATTCTATACACACCTCACGCTGCCTCTCTCTATTTCTCTGTGTATTGCCGTGCCCCTTCTTCTCCCTCTATTGGTGTGTAATTTTAATTTAAATAAAAGCACGTGTGTCTGTTTGTGTGTCTGCCTCTACGTCTGGCTGTGTGCACACACGAGTAAGCTGGATTGATGTCCAATGTGTAGTGTGGTGTATATGTCTGATAAATCGTGTAAGCAAGTGAGTTTCTCTAGCATGTATTTTTTTTTTGCATGACCGAGAGAGAAATAAATAAATAAAAGACAAAGAAAGAAAGAAAGAAAGAAAGAAAGAAAGATTTTGACTCTGTGCATGTGTGTGTAGTGGGGAGCGCTTCCTTAATTTTTTTTACGTAAATGTTGGAATGTGTACGTACGTGCGGCTGTTTGAATGTCTGCAAGTGTGTGGGAAAGAGAGAAAAAGAAAAAAGAAAGTGAGAAAAGAGGGAGAAAAGAGGAAAAAAAGATATTCTTTTCTGTGTATGTGCATGTCTGTATGTGCACGACTGCGTATGTATGTGTACATGCGTAACTACACGTCATAGCGCATTTTTTGCGTGTGCATGTGTATACCTTTTTAATTTTGCGTGTATGTGTCTATCAGCGTGAATGTGAGTATGCCGTGTTTAGCCCACGGCGAGAAAAACGTGTGAAAGAGAGTTATATACATGTGTGTGTGTGTGTGTGTGTGTGTGTAAGAGAGAGAGAGACACAGTGCGTGTGTGTGTGTGCGCGCGCACGCGCGTGAAGGTGAAATAATTTAAAACACGACTAAGTTTAGATCTGGTATAAGGCCAAAGGAATAAGGGACCGTAAAGGATTCGAACTCACTAGCTATGACCTGTGTGACAAGCTTGCTTTATTGCGATTGGAGATGTTTTCTAAGCTTGGCTGAGTTTGGCACAAGGGCTCATACGCGTGGTCCAGTAAGAATCGAACTCACTGACAATATTGCGTGGAAAACTAATGATAACTCTCACGACACAACAAGATAGACATTCTGTGTTTGGTTAAGTCTGGCACAAGGACTCAGTAGTGTGGCATGTTGAAGGACGACAGAAATTGCTTTCAAGAGTAGCTTAATCTTGCTCTAAGGCAGGCGGCTTCTGACTTGCATAGGTCTGCCTACCATGAGCCTCTCTTTAACGATAACAGAGAGAGACTGTTCCCCTGTGTTCGTGAATGTGTGCACGAGAGAGAGAGAGAGAGAGAGAGAGAGAGAGAGAGAGAGAGTTAAAGAAAGAGAATTAGTGTTCATTAGTGTATGTAATAGAAAAGGAGAGGCTTAATTTGTGAGAGTGAAACGGAAAAATTGTTTGCGTGTGAAAGAGAGAGAGAGAGAGAGAGAAAAAAAGAGCGAGAGAGAGGGCGAGAGAGCGAGAGAGAGAGAGCGAGAGAGAAAAGGAGAATTTGTGTATTTGTATGTGATGTGGGATGCATTACCCCTTGCCTCTCTTTCTCCGCCCCCTCTCTCTCTCTCTCTCTCTCTCTCTCTCTCTCTGTCTTCCGTATATATAGGTTGGGTAGGTCTGCTTTTTCAAGCTTGTTTCTATTTCGGTGAAAAGATGGCATACTTACGCCAAGTGAACTATTCAAGGAGGATCAGTTGAGCATGAAGCTTTACCATTTACTTTTCTCACTGCCTCACCAAACAAACTTCCCCCCGACCTTGCCCATACTCCTTAGCAGTGTCAGCGTCAGCTTCTTCTTGGCAGGTTATATCTTTTCTTTATGTCTTCTTATATTTTCGCTTTTTTTTTTTCTCCTCTTTTCCTTTTCCAACAAAAGACCAACCAAATGAACTCCATTTTTCTTTATTTATCTTTTGCTTTCTTTCGAGAAGTCAAAACTTATTGGCACCAACTCTCATTTTTCTTCATTTTTTTTTTCCGAATCGGAGTCTAACACAATTCTTAACAAACAAAACTCCTTTATTGAGTTTTGTTTATTCTCCTAAAAAATAAAAAATATATATATTTTTCTTTTTTTTCTTTTTGTTTAAATCTTGCAAATATTGAATTGAATCACTATTAAAAACATATTTCGAATCATTACTCACTTCTAATTTTGAAAACACTTTTTAGTCTCAAAGTTGTGAGAACGACGAACGTACAAACTTTTGAGAATATCCATGTCTTAAGATCAAAAGGGAGCTTTTTTTTTAAATCTTCTATTACAAATCTGCCTAAATCTGAAATTAAAAACTAAAAATAATTCGTATCCTAATCGTATTAATTTTTCCCATATAAAACAGATTTATTTATTTTTATTAGCAAAAATCGGTTAAAAAGCCAATTTAAAAAAATGAAATGATCACTTCACAATCAGGTTGAGTTATCCGAAGGAGAGAAAATGATGCGTGTGCTTTTTCAGCTAGTCCAGTTGAAATAGAGATTCATCATAGCATGTATTAAGATGATTTACTAGACTTTGATTAGTATGGTACAGTTTTATAATCGTCGAGTGCTCAGTTTAGAAATTAACTTGAATACCCAATGACGAACGAGCCAAACATGTTTTTCGCCCCAATTTTTAGAGGTGGTTAGTTCGAACCCATTTCCTCATTGTTTTGATAACAATTAAAGAAAATGATAAAATTAAGACGAGAAAATTAGTCCGAATGAATCAGTAGCGTGTAGAGCAGAGGAGGTAGATATTTAGCGAATTCCCTGTTGGGTGTCCAGGAGCAGAGTTTGACATATGTTTATTTTAAAGTAGGTGCCAACAGAGCATACGTGTGGTCAAGGACAAAAATTGCCCCGCCTCCGCGGCTTATGAAAAGCAACTGTCAGAATACTCCAGCCTTATCCTTTATGGAAGATGGAAGAGGCGCTGCC